TAAAACCCAGGTCTATCTGATTCTAAAATCCACATTGATGCCACCCTGTGATGGCACCTGTTATCCCCTTAAGATCATTCCACTGCAGAGATAGAAGAGAAAAGAAGGCATTATAGTAATTGGGTGGTAAAAGAAAGGAACAGATGTCGGACTGCAGCTCTGGGGTCTAAATTCTATGTGTCGTACGTGCTCATGTCACTTAATCGATCTGATCCTTAGTGTTTCCATCACTGTGACAAGAATTCTACTAGTTCTGCCTCTCACTACTGTCAGAGACTTGCTTTGAAGACAAAAATGAGATAATCAATGTAAAATTTTGTTCTAAGCTCCAAAATACTGCTTAAAATGTTGTTTGTTATTTCCAATTAAGCATCAAATCAAAAAAAGTGATAAAGATGAACAAAACAAGGGAAACAAAAATAAATCATTGAGTGATCTGATCTTTAGTTTAAAAGCTGAGACTACGTAAAAGGAAATACCAAACACAACAAAGAAGTTTATTAGAACCTTCAGAAGTTCAGTCATCTTTAAGATAAATGTACTAATAGTTTTAGGGTAGGAAAATTGCCAAATTTTTTCCAATCGTGTTTTTCTCAAGTTAAAAAAGTAAACATCCTATTTCTTTCTTGAAGAGACATTCTTTTGCTGAATGTTGAAAACTGTTTAATCAGCAATCATTCTGATGTAGTTACTTCTTAAATAGTAAAACAACGACAGCAGCCTTTTTGTTTAGGCTGTGTAGTTTGCTTTAAGAGAGAACTGGATATATTTTACTTCTAAAAATACAATGTTCTGTCTTTTTAAAAAAAAATGTTAAAGTTCCGTTTTGTAGTTACTAGTTTTTGATGACAGTGAAAACTCTTATGCTGGTAAAACTGGAGTTTTTCCCATTAAATAAATTACAGACATCCCCTCTATTCCTGATTTACATTTTTTTAATTCCTAATTTACTTTTCATTATTTTTTTTTCAAGAGATTTCTGCTATAGGGCACATGTACCTGCTGGGCAGACGGATACAGAGAGACAGAAAGTGAGAAATCACCCCCCAGAAGGGAAGGCCACACCTCAATCCCTTCTCCTCTGTTCTCCTCTTGGGTCTTGGGCATGTACGCACATACACCCAGTGTGAGTTTTAAGCTGCTGGGTCCAGGACTTGAACTGTGGTTGACTATGTGGGAATCCAGTGACATAACCATTATACCATATGCTGGTCCCTACTATTACTATTTTTTAAATGTCTTGACAGAGGAAGAAAAATTAAGTGTTGTTGAGCAAAATAGGCTATTTCAATAAGACCTATAATAAGAAACAGCATAGGATTGAGGTGGTAGGATTTGACTCCATTATATTATCTTAATGCCTATGCATTTTTTAATATTTCACTTCCTAAGTTTTTTGTCTAGTGGGTGTACAATCCAAGTTATGTGTTAATGTAATGGCATCCCAACTAATCTCACAGATATAAATTTATGAGAAACTGAGGGTCTTTAGAGGGTATATATTGGTGGTTAAAGACACCTTCTATAGAGGAAGACAATTCCTCTATGCTACTTATAACCTGCATGACCTTCAAAACATTATATAACCTCTCTATATCCCTCATTCCTTGTCTGTAAAAATAGTCTGTTATGAGGGAGGATTGAAGAATTAATATTTTAAAAGCACCTAAGATGATGCATGGCATGTGTTTCCTACGCTGTGTTTGTGAAATAAAGCTCAAAAATAAATTGAAACTATTACTTCAGCTGTGCAAGGACACATGTTTCTTTGTTACTGGTAGGTGGACGAACATTTCAGAAGTTTCTCCATGTAGTCTCACATTACTCATGAGACAGTCAGGACGTTGACTTTGGCAGCAGACAACATGGGATGTGAAAACAAACCCTTCAACAAAATGATGAGGTCACTTATCATTGTGACATGATCTCCAAGATACCAAGAACACATGGAGTCTTTGAAATACACAAAATCTATCCAACTATTAACAGATAGAATTGAAAGAAGAGAAACTGAGACAGAAGAATCAGATGCAAAAAGTTTGTCTAGTACAATCTAATAAAGAAATAGAAGGGAAACAATCTATGAAAGATAGTTCTGATAACAAGTAGTTTTCACAATACAGGTTGTAGCATAACAATTTGAGTATCTATTTCCTACCTTCAGTGTATTTTTTTAAATTTAATAATGGTGAAGGAATTGTGCTATTATTCCCTAACATTACTTACTTTTAAATTATTCTCAGTTTGAGGGAGGAATAAGCTCCCTTGGTGGGACAAACAGTGTCTATGGAAAGTGGCTGATGGCTTAGGAAAGTGGGCACAATTACACTAGTGAAAGGATTTAGGTTAGTCTAGGGATTTGGTTGCTATCCATTCAGCACCACCATTCTACCAGATTAAATAAAACAAAACTCAAGGAAACTTATGGAATCCAAACTTATTAAAATATATGGGATGAATTGATTTTCCAGTGTTGTACTTTAAAAATACAGGTAATCTAACATCAGCTAGACGAAAGAAGACTCTGAAAAAGCATTACAATTTTAATACTTCCAAAGCTTGTTCATAGACATTAATCTTACTTTAAGCTGGTAAAATACGCAAAATGATTCTATTACAGCACACATCTGGGTGAACTGACATTCTCTCCCACCATTTAATAAACAATTGAATGGCAGAGACTACCTGACCAGCTTTCAGTCTTTCTTCCCACCCCAACTCCCAATCCCCCACCCACCACTGACTAGACATATGTGCATTCTCCAGAGAGACAGAGAGAAAAAGGAAGTGAAAAAAGCACCTCCTATGGGGAATGGTCATACCACGAATCCCTCTCCAGCTCTCCCTCCTTTAGGGATTTCAGGCACACATGCATTTGCCTGGCATGTTTTTCAAGCCACCAAGTCCAGGACACGAATCATGCAGTCTGCCATGCAGGATCCAGCCACCTTACCCACTACACCACTAAGTGGCCCTATTTTTGTTGTCATTGTTGTTGTTGTCCTTGCCAAAGGGAGTGTGCGCCTGAGAGGGAAAGTGAAAAATCACCCCATGGGAGAGATAGCCATGCCACAATCTCTCCTCCTCTATTCTCCTCTTGAGAACCTGGGCACGCACACACACATGCCTTCATGATCCTCAAGCCACCAGGTCTGGGACTCAAACTATAGTCAGCCATGTGCGAATCCAACACTTTAACCACCATGCCACATGCTAGTCCTTGTTTTTGTGGCTTTTAAAATTATTTATTTATTTCTATTTTTTAACTTTTTTTGATATAGGGCATGTGTGTTTGCCAGAGAGGAGAGAGATAGAGAAAGGGAAAGTGAGAAATAATCCCTAGGACGATGGCCACACCCCAATCCCATCTCCTTCATTCTCCTCTTGAATTGTTGGGCATGCAAGCACATGTACCCAGCATGATTTTCAAGCCATTCGGTCCAGGACCCAATCTATGGTCAGTCAGGTGGGAATTCAACCACCTTAACCAACTGCTGGGCCCCTATATTTTTTTGTTCTTAATGGGGGTGTCAGAGGTGACGTTTTTGCATTGTATCAGTGTAGCTAAATTGGGACTACATGTGCCAGAATTCCTGTTCCCTTCATAGATCCAGTTTGGCTTGGGCCTTGGAGGGCATATATAAGGTGGAAGTATAGCCATGTTCTTTGTATCTCAAAAAATTACTAAATTCAACCCCTAAATCTTTTCATTATTCAAGGTCACTTAGTCTAGGAAAAAACTACTGATAGCTTAGTCATTCAAGAGCACTTTTTATCCATAGTATTCACTATACTACATGTATCTTGGGAAGTTGTTTTTGGAATGCTACATTAATTTTCAGTGAAATTTATGAGAGTTCTAAACTTTTAACATATGCATTCTCAGTGAATTTAGATATCAAGTTAACAAATATTAGCTATACTTCTTTCCTCGATTGTCAGAGAACTGTTTCATAAGTATATAATTAGATAGGTTAAGACCATTTAAGTAATCTTTCTAACTCTAGCTTTACATAGACACAAATTAATATCAGACTTTAATAATGTGTTGGAAATTCTTGTCAATAAAATATCACTTTAAATATGAATAAGCAAAGTAAAATAATTCGTTTCTGAAATTAAAATTTTTCTGAGCATCCTGTATTTTATTTGCCCAGTGTAAGGAAAAATGCAAAGGAAAAGCAGGCTTAATGCTCTCTATAAAATAAGGGAAGAGATTTCCTTTGCTTTATTCTTAGAGTCCCTACCTTATAAAAGACCTTAGTATTTGATAGAAAGTGGAAGACTGAAAGATTTACTGCGAAGCAAAGCAAGCCAGACTATCAAAGAGAAGTATTGTATGTCCCTTCTTAATATATACTGAATGCCTGCTCTCTATAGCAGAAACTGAAAGATTGGAAATTATAAAAGGATGGAGAGCAACTGTGGGTACTAAGACAGTGTGGGAAAAGGGCAGGAAATGGGCAAGAGTGAGATGGAGGGAATCAAGGGGGAAAAGAAACAAAATATTTAAGGGACACAAAAATGTTAATGATAATGTGTATTATAAAATCTTTAACTGGATTAATTTACAGGTTTTTCATCCTGGGAAAATTCATTTAGCATGCTGTAATGATATACAGTGACTGAATGTCTGAAAAAAAAATACAACAAATCTGTTTTTCCTCTGAATGAAGCCAATTAGCTAATCCAGATGATCACCTCAATTACTAGGTGAATCTAGGACAAACTGTGTTACAAATGATGTTGTCAAGTCCTCTTATTTGAGGTCTAGTTATTTTTTTTTAAAGGATATATAATTTTGGGGGAACTTGGATATTAAAACAGTGAGATTTAAGGGGCATGAGGTGCTGTGGCAACTCCTACAGGTGTGACGGCTGGGCTGGCCCATGTTGTTGGAGCAGGAATTGCATGGTTCCTACACACAGCATGACTCTCCCGATCACCTTCAGCTTCTATGGCTCCTCCTGGGTTATAAGTGAGGGAGGGAAAAAGCTTACCCAGCCAATTGCTCCCATTATCAAGTTGGAGATTCATTGGTTCTGAGAGACCCACATGAGCTTCTTTTCATCCTGGTGGCTTCTACATAGATTATCCTTGCTGATTTCAATTTGCAGTCTTCCTTCACATCACATCTGTTTTTCCAGCTGCTGCTGTGCAGCTTCAGGCTCTCATTATAGACAGAAATGACAGCTTCACCTAGACTGACCAGCTGTATAAAGTAAAATTCTTATCAGAAGAGATGTATGTATGTATGTGTGTGTTTATATGTTTATATGTATATACACACATACATATATACACACACACATATATACACACGTGCACATGTACACACATATCTATGCACATATACATACATATATACACATACATACATACACACACACACATATACACATAAATATATTCGCCATAGCCATGGTGCTTTTCTAATTGATCCATAATTGATGAAGACAATTAACTATGGAGGGAATGCATACATGCATGAGAAAATCTTCATTTTATAGATGAAGCAACTGATCATGGAGAATTGCTTACTGCTAAGTAATAATAAATGTACAAGAGGAAGACTGAAGCTGGCTGCCTTTCTGACCAGGGTTCTCTGCTGCACCATGATGCCTCTGCTAGACCATCCTATTTACTGCCTGCTATTCAGAGGAACAGCGTCTTTGCCGGTGAATCCCTAATATCATCATAAAAACTCCATTGACGTGTGAGAAGAGGTCCTGCCCACACTCCATGAACAGAGTTGTACCAAGTTAAGACCAATCTAGTTTAGGACAAGCATGCCTTTCAGAGGAAAGAAAAGCCCTGAGAAGCAATTATTATGGACTCTGTTACCTACTTAGAAAAAATGGACTCACATCTAAATCAAAGAATTCTCTCATTACTAATTAGCTTCTTTGAAAGGAAATAAGTGTATTGTAGAAATATATCCACTCCAGTGTTTATTGTGATACTTTAACTACCATGATGCTGAATCAATCTAAGGGTCCATCAAAGACAAATGGATAAAGAAATTATGGTGTGTATGTTTGTGTGTGGAGAGAGAGAGACATATACCCACAATAGAATAGTAAGCATCCATTTAAACAAGTCCTGTCATTTGAAGCAATATGGGTAAGGCAAACGGAAATAAACCAGGCACAGAAAGAGAAAAACCTTATGTTCTTAATCCTATGCAGAAACAGAAAATTTGACCTCATACCAGAGAGTAGAATGGTGATTAATGGGAACTAGGAAGTAGGGGAGGAATTCTGGTTAATGAATACAAAATTGCAGTTTAGATAAGAGGAATAAATTTGTGTTTTATAGCACCACAGGGTAGCTACAGTTAACAATAATGCATTGTGTATTTTGGAATAACTGAAAGAGAAGAGTTTGCATGTTCCCAAAACAAAGTAACAATAAAGGTTTCCAATCAAGGGTATGCTAATGACCTCATTTCATAGTTACACATATTGATATGCTGAAAAATCACTCTGTATGCCATACATCTGTACAATTATGTGAAAATGTAAATAATAGAAATCAGCTCCTTCAAGCTCTTCCATTTTCCACATTCTCTTTTAAATTCTCCTCCTTTCCCGGAATCCATACCAGGTAAGGGGAAATGGTCCAGTCTTAGAACTATATTCCAAGTGATTTGGAGGAGAGGGTGACCCAATAAGCACCCTGTATGTAACCCATTCTAAATCACTCTGCTTCCATCCTCACACCAAGAACCTTGCTGTCTAGCCACACTGAGTTTGTCGTATTTTCCCAAATATTTCTACTCAGGCAAACACCTCTTCTTCAAATTAAAATACAGTACCACTTCCCCTGTGAAGCTTCCCTTAATTCCCAGGTATAGTTAATTTTTCTGCCACTGTCCTCCCTTGCTGGGCTTTGACTCTTCCAATGACAAGGACCTCATGGATTGATCTTTATATGTGTAGTGCCCAGCAGATTGAGTCGCTGTCCATCGACCAGGCAGAAAGGCGATGCTATTTGGTCAATTCATGAAACCAAAGTGCAGAAGACACCAACGTTCTGACTTCTCAATGATGACATGGTTACTCAATGTTTTTATTTTGATGTCCAAAGCAATCGGGTTCGCAGTGCTGCGTTAATGGTATAGCAATTATCATGGTATTCTTTCGTGCATAATCAATACGCTAATTGTATCCACACACACAGCATGGTGACTAAATAACCAATGTCTCCAGGACACGAAGTCAGACTTTTCCTTCTCAACCTGCTAGTTCTGCTCACCCTGTACTCCTGTGCTGCTATTGCATAAGTTGCACGACAGATTGCAGCCAAATTCCATACATAGCTGGAGAAATAGTGCTCATTGTTTATAGCGGAGTAACAGGGAAGAGTGACTGCGCAGGAGGAGCACACATAAAATATTCTGCCTTCAGCCATCTAAGGCATGTAAACTTCCTGGTTTCTATCATACTTGATTCCTGTGAGTGTAAAACACAAAGATTTTACTCCTGTTTGGGTTTGTTTGGGTCTGTTTATTGGCAATTTTTCTTTATTCAGTTGTGTCTTTGTGTATTTCTTTGGCTTTCAAACTCCAAGTGTAAATGCTTTACTCTTTCTTCTTTTTCTTTAAGAAAAATTTTTGCTATAGGGTGCGTGCGCTCACTGGAGAGACAGAGACAGAAAGCAAGAAATCACACTCCCCTCTCCCCCTCCCCAGGAGGATGGCGACACCATAATCTCTTCTCCTCCATTCTCCTTTCAGAATTTTGGGCATGTACACACATGCGCCTGGCATGAGTTTTAAGTCACGGGGTCTGGGACTCAAACTACAGTCTACTATGTGGGAATCCAATGACATAACAGTTACACCATCTGTTGGTCCCTCTGCAAATGGTCTCCTCTTATACTCAGCACAATATGTTATTTAATGTAGTTAAATAAAATTTGAGTCATAAGAAAACAAAACCACCTTCTAGTCTCATAAAGCCTAAGTTTAAATACGTGTAACACGTATCTTAGATACTTTGTTTAGTCACACCACGTTCTCCTTGGGTGTTAGTTCTGAACACCCACAAGTTGGCTTACTTCTGATCCAAAGGAAAGACAGGCTAAACACACAAAAGGAGCAGCCTTCTCGAGGCAACAGTTTTGGTGCATAGCTCAGAGTCTGTCATATCCTGGTAACTTCCCAAATTTTAGTTGCAAATGGAAGGACTTTTACTGTGCTCTGTGTAGGCCTCCATATCTTACAAGAGCATTAAAAGGTTAGTAAAAAGCCTGATTAGCTCGTCAGGGTAGCCAAGCGTGTCTTTGGGTGCTAATTGGTGAGAGCCAGTAAACTCTTGTTTTGCAAACCCCATGTGCCTTCTTCTGTAGAGAACCTTGACTCAGAGACCTACTGAGCAATTCTGGGGTCGGCCATGAGGCCAGGTGCCTTGCTTTATGAGGTTACTTTGGATTATTTTCCTGAAGTAGGGACAGAATGTCCTGAATTACCCATTATTTGGATCAGTCTGACATGAGATGAGAGGCGCACATAGTTGTGAAAAGACTGGCCAAGTTTGTGGGTGAGTAGATATTTTTCTGGGGTGGAGCCAACCAGCTAATCAAATAGTAACTAAACCCAGGAATTTTGTCTTATGAAAAATCATCTTCTAATAGTGTTTCTCAAAACTTTCCATTAAAAAAAAAAAAAAGGCACAAGAAAAGTAAGTACATTACCCTTAACCTTGCCCCAAATCCTGGGAGATTGAGGATGAAAAACAAAGGACTGGGCCCAAGCTCAAAAAATTCCAGTCATAATTTTTCCTTAAAATGGATGCTTGTCTTGAATTATGCTCTATACGTTTATATCTTCATTACAAAAAATAATAATAATAATTATTTAAGCTGCTTATCAGTTAAATTTCTTGATTTCCCCTATCCAAACTGCTGAGTTAAATGAATGCTTCCAAAAGGTACACAGGGTTTATCATAAAGCTTCTCTAACTCCTGTATAACACTCCTACTAGGATCATCATTCTTGGACGTAGGACTAGCCACATGAAAAATAAACTATTTGAAAATATAGGAGAAAGAGTATGGTAGCCAAAATATATGATATAGATAATGAGATTAATGGAAAAGGAAAGAATGCCATGGAAGGCTGGGTGTTCATTTTTCAATGAAAATAAATCATTTTAGGCTGGCACCATTCCTTAGGGATTAATAGAGCCAGATGCCACATGGCTGCAATGGTTCAAATCCTTGTCCTGGTGGCTTGAAAATCAAGCTGGGCAGATGTGCATGCAGGCTCGAAATCCCAACAGTGTAGAGAGATGGACAAAGGACCGTGGAAGACCAGGCCCCATTGAGGGTGTTTTCTGCATCTCCCTCTCTGTCTCTGATGAGAGCACACATGCCTTCTGGCAAAAAAAAAAAAAAAAAATCCTAAAAATAAATAACTTTCCTTTTGACCAAGTTGCTTTATTAAAAAGTTTTAGCACTAAAAAATGTTGTGTTAAGTTAATGATGTTTTCATATGCAAATTTTTTAAGGCAGATTCATTTTGTGAAACTTAAAATGTATATAATTGGTTTTTCTTTTCTTCTAAAGAAACAGAACCTTGGGGCCAGCAGTGGCATAGTGGTTAAGGTGCTGGACACTCCCACATGGCTGACCACAGTTCAAGTCCTGGGCCTGGTGGCTTGCTTTCTCACTTTCCCTCTCTCTCTACGTCTCTCTCTGATCAAATTAAAATAAAATGAATGAATAAATAAAATAAAAAAAATGAAACAGAAGCTTGACTGTCATTTACTGACATGGTGGTGAAGGTGACTGGATCCCACATGACTGACTGAGAGAACGGTTCGAGTTCCAGACCCAGCAGCTTGAGAAACACAGCAGGAGTGTGTACGTGCATACCCACAATTCTGAAAGGAGAAATGGAAGAAAAAGGATTGTGGTGTAGCCATCCTGCTAGAGAGATGCTTTCTCACTTTCCCTTTCTCTCCTCTCGCTCTCTCTCTCTATCTCTCTCTCTCTTTCTCTCTCTCACTCTCTCCAGTGAGCACATGCACCCTACAGAAAATATAAAAATAAAAAATAAATAAATAAACTGAAGCTTTAAACATACGATGTCTATTAACTGGCAAAACCCAATCAGGGTGAAACGCCCTGTGCTAATGTGATGGTTAATATTTTCCGTTTATTTATTCATTTCTACCATGAGTGAGAGAAGCAAAGAGACATGAAAAT